CACTATCGAGAAGGTAGAAAAAAAATACAGGCTAAATTAAGAGTAAGCATATCAAACATACAAGCTCCTCCTATATTTTCCTTTTAGAAGCATCAACAGAAGGAGTTAATAAATAAGAAGTTAATAAAACCAGGAAACCACATATTCTTAAACCACTGGGCCCATAACTCCATGTATTGTTTTCTCTGCGATTAATGTGAAAAGATCACAGATTTAAAAGCTTGATCCAAAATACAGCATATATATAAAAATAGTTTTAAGTATTTATCAGCATCTCAGTGCTTCTCAAATATTAATTCTGTGTAGTTTGGTTGCTAAGCAACATCATTTTGCTGCGAGATTCACTGTTGTGTTTTTTTGTACAATGACAATGAAAGAATGCCTGAAGTCTAAGTCGTACTAAAGTGAAAATGAGACGAAGATGGGAGGAAGAGTTTGGTCATGTTTTACCAGAAACATCAATGCTGGTTAGCTCAACACTAAGTGGGAAAGATACTTTCAACAGATAAGAAAAAGAATATGTGGAAAAGGTGGTTAAATCATTTTTTCCACAGATACACCATTTGGATTGGGTCTACACTTTGACTGGCCCAATTAATCTGAATGCAGTGTGCTACTGTTGTTCAGTATTGCTGTCCTGTTATGCAGTGCAACCCTGCCCCATTCTCAAATCATTTTAACAAGTTTTCTTTTAAGATGGAAGATTCCTGCTGGTTTGGGGTCCCTAAGCAGCAGCTTGGTGCAGTTATGCCTGGGCTCAGCTCAAATTCTACTTCCAGTGGCATTCACAAGATATGAGGACTTGAAGACATCATGAAAAACATACAGAGGCATATTGTCCTTGTTTTTTTTTCACTTTAATGCATCCACAGAATGAAGATTTTTTTACTTATATAGGGGATAGATTTTATGCTGGACACAGGACGACATCTTTAGCTCTTAGTTTACATCATAAGCTAAAGCACAACATGTTAGTTTCACTGTTAATCCAAGATATAACGGAGAATCTCCATAGTTCCTTCTTTAATCCTGAGATTATCTAGTCAGCTCCTGTATTTTTTTTCCAATTTACTGGGGGATTTTAATACAATTCGATTCTGTGCAGTGTAGTTAATAGAACAGAGAAGCTCATAACTCCTAAATAAATAAAGCTTTGATTTTGACTGTGGGTGATGTTTCTGCGACAAAAATCAATGAATCATTTTTTTCCCTCAATTAGATACATAGTGCATGTCTGAATGAGGACAATCTCCATTGGGTCTCATGTGCAGCTTTAAATTTTCCTTTATTAAGTGGAAGACACTGGGTATCCAGCATTGATCCAGTAATAACAGGGTACTTTTAATTCAACAGGGTTTCCAATATGAACCCTTTTCTATGGCACATGCAAAGTTACATTTGTTGTTTGGTACTTACTTTTAAGCAGGTACCATCATAAAAGATTAAATTTTTTTGTTTGTTCGTTTGTTTTGAATGTATTTAAACACAACACACGCCACAATTAAAGGAGGAATGTTGAACATTATTTGTGTTACACCATGTTGCTCAGGATTTACATGTTGGATGTGTCTCATGGCTGCAGAAGTTCATGGAGTAACAGTGCAGGAAGTCAACAAGTATCCTGTTAAATTAAACAAAAACATATAGTAGTAGGTTTCTATATAGGTAAAAAAAAAAAATTTTCCTAAGTCAGATGAGCAAATTTCTATCAGAAATGTTGATGTTTGACACTAACCTGCATAATGAAGCAGACATAATCATTTGCACATTATACAGAAAAAAAGAAGACAATTTTTTTTTATTTTTATCTTTCAATGTGTATTAAACCTGATCTAAAAAGTGAAGCTAAAAAGTGAAATCACCATATTAATCACTTCCTCTGCTGACGTCCAAATACGGTAACTCAGCCGCTTTTCTGCAAAGTTACCAATCTGTTCTCAGAGTCACAGGGTTTCAAGTTAAACTCTGAATAAAAGGGTGAACTACTGACTGAAAAGACTTTCCACAAGTTTGAACAAATATCACATGAGATTTTCTCATGCAGCATCCTTAAGGGACCCCCAATCCACATCATTTTTATTCTTTGCCTTTTGGCAGTGAGGCTTCTAGACTTTCTGCTCTAATTTCAGCTGTCAACTTTTCTCTAAGACATAATGCACATTGAAATAATTAATTACCCTTAAAATGAGGTTGGCAGAAATGTCTCAATACATGAAATACATGACAAATCTGTACTTTAAAAGACAAAATGCTAAAAACAGATACCCTCAGCTGTCCAAAATTCATCTTATTCTAGGTATTTATCTCTTATACAAACTATCTTGTGTTTCTTTTGTGTTGGCTGTTTGATGCTTTGCAAAAAAAAAGAAGGTGGTCAGTTATGAGCATCTTTCAAAAATTGGCCACTCACACCGAGCCTCGTTCAAGTAAAGGTTACTTCCTGTTAAAAGGGAGTTTCTGCTCTCCATTGTCGCTGCATGCATGCTTGGTGTGAGGGATTGCTGTCGAGTCTATGGCAAAATTTAATATCGTTACCACAAACTCATCCAGGAGGAAACTTTTCCTGCAAGTCGTTGACTCAATGCAGAGAGCTGGATTCCTTGAAATAAACATTTTATCAACTGACTGTACCTTTTTACATTTTATCTGTAAAGTACCTTGAGGTGACTTGTTGTGAATTGGTGGTGTATCAATAAACTGAATTGAAGCTAAAAATAAAAAAAAAGAGTTCTCTGGTCAAATCAAACCTAAATTGTACCTGACCTACATACAAAAAGCTATTTGTGTCAGAAAAGCTCTGATAACATTATCCTGGTGAAAGGTTTTACTTTTTTATTGAGACAAAAGTGTAAACATACAGCCAGAGCAACAGTTTAGGTTGTAGCATGTTGCTGTGTTTTATGTCCAAGTAAAACATCAGCAATACAACCATCTGAAAACCTGTGATGATACTTAAAAATGTTAGTTTATCAGATGTTATTGTAGGAATATTTATTTTCAAAGAATGACTTAAAAAATCTGTTCCAGATGTGCAAAGTTTATTTAGATATGCCCCCTATATATTTTTTTACAACTCTTGTAATAGGTTACAGGGTAAATCATTCACATATCCAGTTATAACAGTGAGCTTGTTCACTTATCTTTGAGCCGGGGTCATATTTAATTGATGAGGGCAAAATAAAAAAACAACAACTCAAAAACAAAAACGGTTGGTTGGAAAAGAATAAAAAGCAAAAAAAGGTGGGTTTGTAGTTTTTGACCCACGTGCATAATCATATGGAGAACTAGTGAATTGTATCATTTTATTTAAAAAAGCAAAAAGGATCTGGAAGCGGAGAATTGCAGGAAGTCAGTTGAACTTTCTGGTTGGTCTGAGGGGAGAAAGCAGACTGATCAGGAAGGAGTTGGATGATGACAACTGGAGGCTGATTGATTTGGTTACTTGAGAGATGGAGGGAGCAAGGATCTGAAGGGGTTTGATTCAGTGGGTTTTGCAGACTGAACTTCAGAAGTCCGGGAGAATGTGAGCGAGATCCGAGGGAGGTGGTACTTAAAAGAGAGGATGATTTCAATACAAACCTATCAAATAAACCTTAGATGATCCATATTCATTTGCAATTAATTAATTTTGACTGGCAAAGAGACTGGTAAATTAATAAAGCTTATTTATTTGAAATAAAAAAAAAAAAAATTATGTACTTAACATTAATGAAGTATACTTGCGGTACTCAAAATTGATACTAATGAGTGTATTTATTTCAGATCTATAATTTATTGTGTGAAATGCATTAAGGTAACCTGATTATTATGCAATTCAAATAAAATAAACTTTTTGATAATGAGTGACTGCACCACTTTATTCTAAATACATAAACCTGAAAATCAAATAAACCATAATAAACTAAGCATGCATCATGTAAGGTTTATTTCATCGATTTTAGGGCTGCAACTAACAATTATTTTTGTAATCAGCACTGTGGCTAATTATGCACATCAATATACTAACATTAAAGATAATAAGTACAGAATTCATGTTCTTTCCATAACTAGATTGTGTGTTCCATGGGGTAAAGAGAAAATGATGCTTCTCTGTAAGTCATCTAGGAGTCTTCAGTGCAATTATAGATACATAAGTATTTTAATAAAAACATATTACATTATAAATGCATATAAATATTAGTACTTGTAAATATCAATTTTATCCATAAGGATTGTTGATAAACATAGGTATGTAAAGACAATGGAAAAGATGTGCCCCAGAACTCAAACCTGAAAGGATTTTATCCACTATACCTTTTATCTAGAAAGCATGGATGTTTAAATGTATGCCCCTATTTGTTAGCAAAGGCTGTAGGAAAGTAAAGTTTGTCTTTATTTAGAAAATATGAATGTTTTGCTCATTAACTTTCCTGTTGGAAGAGTGTAGATTGACTCTGAGGTTCTGGTGCCACCCCTCAGTGTATATTGGTTATAGCCTGGCCCCCCTAACAAACATTTTCTGGCTACGCCTCTGCTACTATAGCTAAAACCTTATAGCCTTTTTTATCTATTGCAATAAAATTTCATTGATTCAGACACATTTTTAATAAATTAAACTTATCAGTGATAAAACGTGGAACATTTTGTTGATATTACCAAAGATTATGTTTATTTCTGAACCTTTCCATACTTGTGCAACGTTTGCTTAAATGATAACAGCGATAAAATGACTTTTGATAGCGAGCCTTGTGTTGCGTTCAAACACATCAGAGTTTGGACCAACAAACCTTTGTTAACTAAAAACCGGTATGATTTAATTGCAAGTAAGCCAGTTGTTCTAGTGATTAGAGTACAATTTGTATCATATTTTTGAACGAAGTTAAAATATAACATATGTTTATCTCCTCCTATGTTTGTGTAGTCTGATTACCGTGTGTTTTTCACGCACCGTGAACGCGCAGAGCTGGAATAAAGTCATCCCGGTGACACTCCCCTCCCTCACTACACACAGGGCTGGAGATAAAGTAGACCGAGCCTCTCTCCTCCCACCTTTTAGTGCAGCTAGCCGGAGTACAGGACGTATCCCTGCTCAAACCCACGGAAAGGGAGGCAGACGGAGGAGTCAGACACGCTGAAAGCAGGACGGCTATTTTTCGCTTACTCCAAACCAGCCCAGTAGCTCGCTGTTTTTTCTTTTGTTCTCGTTGTAAAACTTCGGCTTTGTCAGCAGTTTGTCCCCGTTTGGGCTCAACTTTTTACCGAGCGGACAGAAAACAAATGAACGTTCCCTCAGAAACACAGGTGAGTGTTGGCTGATTGGAGCTGATTTCACATTATTTCCACCTGTATACGTTATTTTCCAATAACGTACAAGGACTTGTGTAGTGCTGGCAAATTCATTGTAACCATGGTAACATGGGCTAACATTCCTGTAACTTTATACAGTGAGTTAAGTCTAATCCTAACCTTGCAGACTACAGGCATAGTTGTACTGGTAACCCTATCAATCAAAACAGAATTGCAGGGCTTTGAATCCATAATGGTGTGTCCCTAAGTGCTTCCCATTTAGACTGATCCATAAAATTAGAGAAACCAATCATTGTTTATCATCGATTTGCATTCCTTTAACAGCTTCTGCACAGTTGAAAGCCATCGGTTTCTGCATTATTTTAATCACAGGAAGAAACTTGCAGAAGGGTCCACTTGAGTCCAAGTTTGAACTGGTTATCAGTTTCATAATATTTCAAGGTTTTATATTACAATTTCTGCTTCAAGGAGATTTTCTATCCTACTTTCAATGCTGCTGAAAATCTTGTCAGTTTAATAAAGGAAGATCCCAGTGAAAGTGTTGTAGTTATATAATTGCTTCTCTGAATCTCTTCACCTGGGTTGCAACACTGTGTCTTTTCAGCCTGCTGAAAATACCCACTGTTTGAACAGTTTTCTCCTGCCACAACTATAGGAAGAGTCATAAAACTACAGGGATGACAGTTTATTCTGTAAAAAGCTTCTCCAGATCCACTGCAACTCAGACCACTACAGGAGAGCCTCCCTGCCTACAGCTATAAACATAAACATTAGATTTGGAAAAACATTTACTTTCACTTTTGGATCAATAGGATATTTTTTTCATGCAATTGTTTTGGTAACACAATTTCAACACTAAAGTTTCAAAGTACTGTGTGAGCACATTAATACTTCATTCTATGTATAGGAATTAAAATCAAATATCAGTGTAGAAGGTGTCAAACTGTTGGTAGAAATGATTTCCTGTTTTTTTATTTTGAATTGAAGAAAAGTGATCCTTTTTATGTATTTTTGTTTTGAATTGTATCCAGAAATGTTGAACCCTTGTGTTCTTACCCAAGTTGTCAAACCAGCAGGATTCATGGAAAAATACTCACCTGCTTTTCCCCTACTGCTATGCCCTCACTGAAATTAGCAGAGATTTGTTTGTTTTCATGTGGAGCTTCAGCGGACGGGCAACATCATCGTATGTCACAAATCAACCTGAAGGCGCATGATTAATGACTTCTCTGGAGATTTAAAGGTGTTTAGTCAAGAGTTTTCTCTGAGGGATTTCAAATTTACGATGTGAGATTAGTCTTTTTCTGTTTTTTTCTCTCCCTCATTTTCCTTGATGTTGTTTAATTAATCAGATGAGTTGTAGTGCAGGGACTGGATTTCCCTGCAGTTACATTTATCATGTTCTCCATGTGGGAAAATAAACATTTCATTTAGATTTGTTAAAGTTACAGCTGAGCCACTTGAGTAATAATCCATAGAATACATGTAGACAGTTCAGGAAATAATGTTCTTAAGAAAATAATCTAAAAGTTTGGATTTAAACTAGTATGAGTCCAGAGAACAGAATAAAATCCATTCCTGGTTATCTCCAATTGGCCCAGATTTACAGAAATGCCTTTTGCTGAGTTTATAAAGTGATTTGCTGCTGATTAGACATGGTTTGTTTAGCGAGCACGGCAAAACAAACAGTTTAAGTCTAAGATGTTTAATGTAGCCATTTGTCTTTTTATTTAGTTTTTTTTATCTACAGTTTAGCTGAGCTAGAGCTGTCTGCTTGATCATTCCTGCATAGATCCAGATCCCGTTTGTCAGCTTAAGATACCAGAGGAAACACACCTGGGTGATCTGTCAAACACAAGCAAAGATCTCCAGAGGGGGATTGAGTCAGTTATTTTTTGCTATTCAGAAGCTGTCGGCTCCATTTATGCTCTCTCCTTCACTTGTATCCACATATATTTACATATTCTATATCAGAGTTGGTTTGAGTTGGTAAAAAGGAGTGATCATGGGATTAATGTTTCAATAAAAATTTTTTTTTGACTTGATTCAGACTTTCTAGCATGTTTCTGATTGTTGATAGCTGGATACATTAGCCACGAATGAATCAGGATAACATATTGAAATCTACAATGTAGAAACACAGCTTAGGTTTTGATGTACATACATTACATACTAGTGGTACAACAAAAGGCAACAAAGCTATAAATTCTGTCCTAGTTCTACCTGTTCTTAATTTCTAAGCTATTAAATCCAACATATATTAAATAAAGATAAATAACTCGTTTAAAAAAAGGTGATGTTTCTAAAGTTCTTGGTTTTATTTGTTTAAGAAAAATAAAAAACAATGATGGCATTTTTTAAACCATCTTTAGCAGCTTTTAGCATTAGGATAGTATTTACTTTAAACATTTTTCAAAATTGTTTATCTTCTGAAAAAAATGCAGGAATTTATCTAAACTCATTTCTTTCTTTATATATATATATA